TATAACACCAAATGGTGGGCGCTTTGGCTTCCAAAATGGTGTCACACATTTACATTATAACACATCAATCTCTGAGACGGTGAACGACCTTAAACAACACTGACAACTGGAGCGGTTGAACGCAATCAATCTTTTTGCGCATTAGGCATTCAGTGTAATTATTATTATTGCTACCCATTTATCTCCCAGATGTTCCTGAATTACTCTCTCACTCGGTTTCCCTCCTCGCTCTACTCCACTCCTCTTCTCTCTCTCTCTTTTATCTCATTCTCACTCCCTCTCTTTTTCTCTCACTCCCTCTCTACCTGTGTCTGTTGATAGAGCTCTATTGGATAGATCCCTCCCTCCCCCTCCCCTCCCCTCCCTCCCTCCCTCCCTCCCCTCCCTTCCTCCCCCCCTCCCTCCCTCCCTCCCTCCCTCCCTCCCTCCCTCCCCTCCCTCCCTCCCTCCCTCCCTCCCTCCCTCCCCTCCCTCCCCTCCCTTCCTCCCTGTGTGTTTTGAGTCACAGTCACCCCTCTCTCCCAGAGCACCCTCCCTCCCTGTGTGTTGTGACTGAGAGCCTTTGTTTGTTGAACCATCCCTCTCAGTGAGCTAGCCCTGCAGGTTGAGTTATGGCCTGTGTGAGTTTGGTCCCTGAACAAACACCCCATGGCAGCTTGGGATTGGTCAATTTATTTTCCCATTAGGGGAAGGACAACTGTCAACTGGAATGGTCCCACGTGCTGCCGGTGCTGGCCTGTGGTAGCCTGTACAGCACACCTTACACACACACACACACACACACACACACACACACACACACACACACACACACACACACACACACACACACATAACACAAACTCAACCCTGCACCTTAGAGGCTGCTGGAACACTGGTCACTTTAATAATGTTTGCATACTGTTTTACCCATTTCGTATGTAAATACTGTATTCTAGTCAAGTCCATCCTATTCAATTATTGCTGAACATATACTATTCTATCCTACGTATTCTTCAGATATACTTTTTTGTGTGTATTGTTGTGTATTGTTAGACATTACTGCACTGTTGGAGCTAGGAACACAAGCATTTCGCTACACCCACAATAACATCTGCTAAATATGAGTATGCGACCAATAACATTTTATTTTATTTGAACCTCACCACCCCACTTACCAAACCACACATTTATTAGGGTTTACAACCTAAAGACCTGAGAGGTGTTTTACAACAGTATTAATAACAGCTGTCCTCTCTCTTCCTTCAGTGATTGGAATGTAGACACAGAGACATATCGAAACATGCTCTCTATATATTATGGACAGTGTTATGGTTAGGAAGAGCTGTTGTAGATCCAGCAACAATATAATATATGATGAGACGTCGCCATCTAGTGGCTGAGAAATCCACACACCACAGCATCAACAGGGGAAAACACCATTGCAGACCATTGTGTTCTGTTACAGTATGAAGATAAATAAACCACGTCAGTTGGTAGTATTTGGCTCCACAGTGGAAGATAAATGATTACAATAATGAAGAGATTACACAGGACATTTGGAGATCTAAAAAAATTAAATATATTGTCATTACATTATTATAATACCAGTCAAGTGTCTTGATATCCCAATGAGTCCATACAGTACAGTACAACCTACCTTCACAGCAAACTTCACTTCATTTCCTTGTCTCTAAGCAGACAGACAGGAATCCTTCCTGAAGGAGCCACAGGAGACAAATGAATTAAAACACTGTGGGGAAAGAGAACCTGGAACCTCTATGAATGAGGCAGTACAGTGGAGCTATAGACGATCCGGAAATCTTATCAGACTATTCAAGTGGTGCCTTTTGGGTCTTATGGGCCCTGGTCAAAAGTAGTGCACTATAGAGGGAATAGGGTGGCATTTAGTATTTAGTATTGATTAGGATCCCCAATTAGCTGTTGCTGAGGCAACTCTTCCTGGGGTCCAAACAGGAAACAACACATCAAATAATATACATAATATATATAAATGTACATATCACTGCATTTACATTACAATTCAGCCATTCAGCAGACGGTCCCATCCAGAGAAACCCACAGCTAGTGCATTCATCTTAAGATAGCCAGGCGAGTCAACCACATATCACGGTCGTATCCCAACCACGTATTACATACTGTACATAATACAATATATAACACAATGCAAAATACAATACAAAATACAATACAAATGGCATAAACATTTCTGTGTGTCTCTTCACAGTCCCCGTCGTGCCATAAGGTGTTCTTTTATCAGGTTTTTTTTATCTGGTTTTATTGCTAGCTTGAGTTACCTGGGGTGGCAGAGAGTTCCATGTAGTCATGGCTCTATTTAATACTGTGTGTTTCCCAGCCTCTGTTCTGGACCTGGGGACTGTGAAGAGACCTCTGGTTGCATGTCTTGTGTGGTACCGATGATTGTCCGAACTGTGTGCCAACTGCTTGAACAGACAGTTCGGTACCTTCAACACATCAACACCTCGCACAAAGACCAATAGTGATGCAGTCAATATCTCCTCAACTTTGAGCCAGAAGTGATTGACATGCATGTCATTGACATTCGCCCTCCGTGTACATCTAACTGCAATACGTGCTGCTCTGTTTTGGACCAACTGCAATTTGCCTAGGTCCTTCGTTGCCGCACATGACCACACAACTGGGCAGTAGTCCAGGTGCAACAAAACTAGGGTCTGTAGGACCTGTCTGGTTGACTGAGATATCAAGAAAGCAGAGCAACGCCTTATCATGGACAGACCTCTTCCCATTGTAGTAACCATTGAGTCTATATGTTTTGACCATGATAGCTTGCTATCTAGGGTGACACCCAGCAGTTTAGTCTCTTCAACTTGCTCAATAGCCACATTATTCAATAATAGATCCAAATGAGGTTTAGGGTTGAGCAAGTGATTTGTCCCAAAAATTATGCTTTTAGTTTTTGAGATATTTAGCACCAACCTATTACTAGTTACCCATTCTAAAACTGACTGGAGCTCTATGTTAAGGGTGTCAGTTATTTATTTTACTGTTGCAGCCGACATGTATACGGTTGAGTCATCAGCGTACATAGACACACAGGCTTTATTCAAGGACAGTGGAAGGTCATTAGTAAACACAGAAAACAGTAATGGTCCAAGCTGCCCTGCGGTACACCACACTCAACTAAATTTGCATTAGAGAGACTTCCATTAAAGAAAACCCTCTGTGTTCTACTGGATAGGTAACTGTCCATCCATGATAAGGCAGATGATGTTAATACATAACACCTATGTTTTTTCAGTAATATGTTATGATCAATGATGTCAAAGGCTGCAATGAAGTCTAACAATACAGCTCCCACAAACGTCTTATTATCAATTTCCTTCAGCCAATCATCAGTCATTTGTGTCAGTGCCGAGCATATTGAGTGCCCTTCCCTATAAGCATGCTGAAAGTCTATTGTAAATTTGTTTTCTGTAAAATAACATTGTATTTGGTCCAACACGATTTTTTCAAAAAGTTTACTAAGCACCGGTAACAGGCTGATTGGTCTGCTGGTTGAACCATTAAAGGGTACTTTGCTATTTTTGGACCTTGGACCTTTACCTCCCTCCAGGCCTGACGGCACACTCCGTCTTCTAGGCTTAGATTGAAGATGTGGCAAATAGGAGTCGCAATGTATTCCGCTACCAACCTCAGTAATTTATCATCCAGGTTGTCGGTTCCAGGTGGTTTTTATTTATAGATAGCAATCATTTTTTCACCTCTTCCACACTAACTTTGCGGACTTCTAAGCTACTGTGCTTGTCTTTCATTATTTGGTCCATTATGCATGAATATGAAGGCTCAGCATTTTTTGTTTGCATGTCATTCCTAAGTTTGCTCATCTTGTCAACAAAAAGTAATTGAAGTGGTTGGCAATATCAAAGAGCTTTGTTATGAATGAGCCACCAGCCTCAATGAAGGGTGGAGCTGAGTTAGCTTTTCTGCCAAGAATTTGATTGAAGGTACTCCAGAGCCTTTTACTATCCTTCTTTATAGCATGTGTCTTTCTTCCATAATATAGTTTATTCTTCTTTTTGTTTAGTTTAGTTATGTGATTTCTCAATTTACTGTATGTTTGCCAATCTTCTGTGTTGCCAGACTTATTATATACATTGAGACGCAGCCAATGTTTTTATGAGGTTAGAGAGGAAGCCTATAGAATATCTCTAGAGACTCATGAAAGCAACTGCAGAGACTTAAAGGCAACTTCATCAAAAACTGCATGACCTTTGATCACATGATTTTTGTTCATGCAGTCGACATGTAGTCGCAAGTCGTACAATGTAACCATAATGCAACACCCTTTGAAAGGCGGTGACCAACGATGGTCACCGACTTGACAAAAGTGATCTGCTCGAACGCGCCCATTGTCTTGCCTAAGTAGGCAGCAACCCCATAACCTATGATTGTATTACTATGGCTTTACTTAATGCATTTGACCACGTGAGGTACAGTTGACTTTAACGGCTATGCTTAGCCTAATGGTAACGTATGTAGAGGATTTACAGTAAGATACTACTGTATTGATTTGTAAAGTAAATGAACATTAACTACTACTGTAATAGAACAAGAGACATAATGACTAGACAAATGTGTTTTTTGCATGCTGTCACAGACCCATGGCCTGTATCCCAAATAGCCCCATATTCCCTATATAGTGCACTAATTTTGATCAAGAGTAGTGCACTATAAAGTGAATAGGGTGCCATTTGGGATACATCCATAATAGTGGACATGCAGATACATCCACTGTAAGAGGCTTACTGTGTACACCCACTGAGTGCACTGGACTGTTTATAAATCCCTTTCACAATTTCTGTTGAAACCATTCCATCTGAATCACAAAATGAATTGTTCTGAACCTGCATGGCAGAATATTCTGATTAGGAGTGAACAGACATTTTGAAACCACTATTCAAAACTGACTGTATGGTGCTGGATATAGTAGTGTTAGAGTTCAAACATCAAACTCCAAAATGATGTATGACAAGGACAACTGGGTACTGTAGGGAAGCATTTAGCTACCAAAACCCTCACGTAAATCATTGTTTTTGTGTTTAATAGACCTACAATTTTCACTGAAAGTATTTTGTTTCAGGCTATATCAGTAGATATGAAAACAGATTTCTCCCAGCACACCAACCAAAGTAAACAACCAAATCGTTAATCCACAGTCAACCAACGACAAAACCATCTGATTTTATCTATAGTAGTTTGAATATATTTGCCTATGTGTCTAGCCCATTTACATGACTAGCACTGTACTACACTCTCTCCTTCTGCCTTCAGTGGAACAGTAGTAATAGCAGGTCTCCCTCTGGGGCAGGGTGTGGTGGAGGTGCCCCACCCAGAGCACTCCCTCCCTGGGGTTAAAATTACCCTGCTCTGCCTCTGTGGATCCAGGACTGCAGGAGGAGTGGGTGGAGGTAAAGCTCAAACCACACGGTCTGCTATGAATCTGAGGGGGAAATGACATGGTAGAATCTGAGCAGGTCCACTAGATTAGTAGCTGCTGAGGAAAACGTGGCAACACCCAACGATTTGGTTGGAGTCTGTGGTGTAAACTCATAGGAGCTGTAGCTTTTCTGAGAGTTCGGAAATATAAACCCTTTGAGGGGTTTAAGGCCTATTGCAGTATGCATGGTGTATTGATATTGAACAGTGTTATACTGGATAGATAGGATACAATTCAGATATTAGAATGAGATAGTCTTGTTGTGACCTATTTGTTGAAAGACAATTATTAATCTGTTCAATAGTAATAATAATGGATTCGATTTGTATAACAGTGTAACAATCAGTTAAATTGCACACATTATCCTCCTCATCATAACCAAAAATGTATGATTGAGAAACATTGTATCATAGAGAGACATAATAATAATAATATAGCAGTAGTAATCAACATTGGAACGTATCAACTACGTGCTCGTTACTGCTCCATCGTCACATGATACAGTTGCTGCTGCGTGATGACATCACAGCTAGAGGCAGGTCAAGTTACTGTAGTTCTGTTTCTTCTTCCTTGTTCTTTCCCTTCTATCATCCACCGGCCCGGGCAACCCAAAGCAAAGGAGACAGGCATAATGTCCCATCAAACGGGCATACAAGGTAAATACGCACATTTTGCTTATTGTAACCAGCTGTTGAAATCACAACGGAATAGACGATGCGATCGTCGCTCATGACAGATTTGATTTAAAAGGATTACATCCATAGAAAAAAAAAACCTGTTGTATGTGTGTCGTTCTGCATCATCAGCGAGAATAAGCAGTGCTTTCTGCTCTGTTGAGGTTGCTTCGGGCTTCACGGTGCACTGGGCGAATGAGAAGAATCTATGACAAGTGTATTCAGCGATGCGTTGTACTAATATGGTCGTGCTGCTGCGATTCAACTGACATTGTTACGCCGCATAAACACTAGCAGTTAGTCATCAAGCTCTGTGCTGCTGCTGCAGCAGACTCTATGATCTGTAACGTTAGTTTCAAAGGTCTTTTACAAGGGAACAAGCCGCCCATTCATCACATGCGTAAATTAATCTGGGTGACATTCATGGCCAAGATTACTGCTGCCCTTTTGATGTTTGTTGAGATGAGATAACCTTTGATGCAACTGTGTCGATGTTTATGTAACAACTGGCTCTCTAGTAACATTTGGGTCACCTATTTTGGCCAGTAGGCTATCAGAGCTATCTTTATTTATCATGGCACGGCGAAGGGTAATACAATTACATTGATTGGCCTGTAGAAGTCAGGCATGCGTTTGGTTTTGCCCTTATTCATCTTGAATACCTGACGTTAATTCTCTGTCTCTATACTATAGTGAATGACCAAGAGAGATAAGCTGCCTATGCTAATCTTTTCTTAAAACCTTTTGATAAACACACCAATCCTTATTTCAACTGACCAGTATATTCTACACTTGACTGTCAAGTAATAGGCTATTCCCCATGCTTGTGTTCCCTGTCCCTTGTATTCCCAGAATTTCCCTGTTGTGTGAATAGCCAACGTCTCTCTTGAGCCAAAGTGTGTATAAAGAAGTGACCACTTGGTTTGCTTTGACTTCACAGCTGCGGAGGAAGTGAAAGACATCTTTGCTAAGGCGAGGAACGGAGCCTATCGCCTGCTGAAGGTCGTCATTGAGATGGGTGAGTATGTAGTCTGCCTAGCCTACAGCTGATCAACTCAATCACACCTATTGATCAGAGATGAGCCCTACCCATCACTGTATGCAACATGATCAATAGGTAAATAGATTAGTTCAGTAGTTTGTTGATTGGTTACAACTGGTTATATTTACTGTGATGTTAAAGACATGTACTGTGATCTGAAAAGTAGACTGTATTGTACTGTATTGTACTGTATTGTATTGTACTGTACTGTACTGTATTGTATTGTATTGTACTGTACTGTATTGTACTGTACTGAATTGTACTTTTATTGTACTGTATTGTATTGGTTATTACACTTCATGTCATTTGTATGATATTTGTTGGGTAGTTGCTTTTACTGCACTGCAACCTCAGATACTGTATATCTTACCTGAAAAGCCAGAACATAACTTTATGTCAGTTGATGTTTACCTGTTCCCATAGTTAAATATTGTATATCACTGTAATACATCCATCATATCCCTCCTTGTTATTATTCCAGAGACTCTGGTGCTGGGAGGCACCAAGCATGCGTCTAAGAAGTGGGACCAGGAGTATGACGCCTATGTGCTGCCTCTCCTACAGGATGACATGCCCTCCTACCTCCTGTACAGGCTGGACTCTACTAACAACCAGGGATATGAGTGGATCTTCCTGGCCTGGTCACCTGACCGCTCACCTGTATGTTGATTTGTTTATCTGTTTCTTTCATTCTTTCTTTATTAATCAATATGTTGGTTGGGAGGAAATTCTTCTTGTTCTTGTTCTTGTTCTTGTTCTTCCTGGTCAAGACTACCTCTGGAATGCCATAGACATGACAGTTTTTACTTCACTATAGCAACTGTTTCACCTTGTAAACACAACTGTCATGGTGTCAGTTAGGGCATTTAAAAGTCTCCCGAGTGGCGCAGCGGTCTAAGGCACTGTATCGCAGTGCTTGAGGTGTCACTACAGACCCGGGCTCGATCCCAGGCTGTGTCACAACCGGCCGTGACCGGGAGTCCCATAGGGCGACGCGTTAGGGGAGGGTTTGGCCGGGGGGGCTTTACTTGGCTCATCGCAATCTAGCGACTCCTTGTGGCGGGCCGGTCGCCTGCAGGCTGACTTCGGTCGTCAGTTGAACGGTGTGCCCTCCGACACATTGGTGCAGCTGGCTTCCTGGTTAAGCGGGCGGGTGTTAAGAAGCACGGTTTGGCGGGTCATGTTTCGGAGGACGCTCCCGAACCCGTTGGGGAGTTGCAGCGATGAGACAAAATCGTAATTTAATATCATGAAATTTGGGAGAATAAAAGGGATTTTTAAAAAAGATAGGAAAGAAAGTACCTCTGTTTATTCCATAGTCCCTCTGTGTAATAGCACTCTAATAAGCCAGAATGTTGTATACAATAATACCCTATTTAGAGAACTACCAACCCACAGTCTAGTCCACACTACAGGTAAAGCCCAACAGGGAGAATGTAACAGACCACACACAGTGCTGCTTTCAAACACACATCTGGTCTGTGGTTGGCTAACTATAGATTGAGAACCCTTACCGCTGGGTGAGAGAACACTTTACTTTAAGGGTTTTTAGATGTGTTTGTTTATGCTTAGCTTAGGCCCACACTTTGAAGAGACTGTTGAGCAAAAAAGCTAGCTTATTGTTGTGCTAAACAAGCATATTTGCAATTTTAATGTTGGCTAGCAAGAAGCATGAAACCTGGCTTCCATCCTAAACCTCAATGAAACAGCGAAAATGGTAGATGTTTCTGAGATGTCTGTATGAAATAACATTCAGTTCTGGTTTAGATTGCAGTCTACAGTCATATTTATCAGTTAGTGCAGTACTAAATCGTGAATTTCTCCCACTTCTATAGGTTAGACAGAAGATGTTATATGCTGCTACAAGAGCTACACTGAAGAAGGAGTTTGGGGGTGGGCACATTAAAGATGAAATATTTGGCACAGTGGAGGTATGTTGAAGAATCTAAAGAAACTCCTCATTATTTTATGGTTTACAGTCCTAAGTGGGCTTTCCAAACCAGGGCCTGTATACAAAACGGATCCTATATAAGCACTCATACTCTAAATACGGACCCTGAGCTCCAGTCCACCCCTCTCACGGTCCTGTCTCTCCCCAGGATGATGTGTCTCTGAGCGGGTACAGGAAGTACCTGATAGCACAGGCTGCTCCACAACCACTGACCGCTGCTGAGGAGGAGCTGAGGCAGATCAAACTGAGTGAGGTAGAGAGACACACACACACACACACACACACACACAGACGTACACACACACACACACATACACTCTTAGGAAAAAAAGGGTGCTATCTAGAACCTAAAAGGGTTCTTCAGCTGTCCCCATAGGAGAACACTTGAATAACCATTTTTGGTTCCAGGTAAAACCCTTTTGGGTTCAATGTGGTCCTCTGTAGCTCAATTGGTAGAGCATGGCGCTTGTAACGCCAGGGTAGTGGGTTTGATCCCCGGGACCACCCATACGTAAAAATGTATGCACACATGACTGTAAGTCGCTTTGGATAAAAGCGTCTGCTAAATGGCATATTATTATTATTATAATGACAAACCCTTTCCAAAGAGAGTTCTGCGTGGAACCCAAAAGGGTTCTACCTGAAACCAAAAAGGGTTCTCCTATGAGGACAGCCGAAGAACCGTTTTGGAACCCTTTCTTCTAAGAGTGTACACACACACTAACACATTCATTTACACAACAAAGGACTTTGCCGCTGACATGTCAAATCTATTAGCCTTCAGTGGAGAGGCAGAGAGCAATTTACAGAAGGCAATCAAAAACAGATCAATGAAGTGGATAGATCTTTGCACACTACACTAAACAGCCCAACCTCTGCCCCAGATTCCCTTGGTTTCATGCATTCATAATAATACTATGAAGCATTTTTCTATTTACATCGGTGTGATGATGTCACACACACAAACGTTTTGTTCTTCCTCGTGGGGGGCCAACAATTCAAAATCCTATCTTCCCTAACCCTAAACCTTAACCCTAACCTTAACCCATAAACCTCCGAAACCTAACCACTAACCTTAAAATAGCCTTTGTCCTCATGGGGATGTGGGAAATGTCCCCACGAGGGAGAATTTTCCTTGTTTTACTATCCTTGTGCGTACTTTTGGGGATTTTAGGTCCCCACATGGATAGAAGAACCAACCCCCCCCCATACACACACACACACACACAGACACACACTCTCCCTGAGAGATGGAAAAAGGTTGATATGGGTTGTCCCTGGGTGCTGGGGGAGACTAGAACAGATACTGCTCCAAATGTTTAAACCCCTTAACTCCTCTCTACCAGTCCATTTGATTTATTTCTTAATCTCTCTGTACCCATCGGATTTCAGACTTCATACTAAAAGGTTTATCGTTCCCAAGTAAACATTCACACTTTAAAGCATAGTAAAAGGTTTATCGTTCCCAAGTAAACATTCACACTTTAAAGCATAGTAAAAGGTTTATCGTTCCCAAGTAAACATTCACACTGAAAAGCATAGTAAAAGGTTTATCGTTCCCAAGTAAACATTCACACTGTAAAGCATAGTAAAAGGTTTATCGTTCTCAAGTAAACATTCACACTGTAAAGCATAGTAAAATGTTTATCGTTCCCAAGTAAACATTCACACTGAAAAGCATAGTAAAAATAGTATGTGAATTTACGTCACCATAAACAAACACACTCTTAGAAAACAAGGTGCTATCTAGAACGTAAAAGGGTTATTCTGCTGTCCCTATAGGAGAACCCTTTGAAGAAACCTTTTTGGTTCCAGGTAGAACCCTTTTGATTCCAGGTATAACTCTTTTGGGTTCTATGTAAAACCCTTTCCACATAGGGTTCTACCTGGAACCAAAAAGGGTTCTCCTGTGGGGACAGCCGAAGAACCCTTTTGGAACCCTTTTTCTCTAAGGGTGTAGCGACCTATATCAATAGAGTGTAGCTACCTATATCAATAGAGTGTAGCTACCTATATCAATAGAGTGTAGGTCCCTATATCAATAGAGTGTAGGTCCCTATATCAATAGAGTGTAGGTCCCTATATCAATAGAGTGTAGGTCCCTATATCAATAGAGTGTAGGTCCCTATATCAATAGAGTGTAGGTCCCTATATCAATAGAGTGTAGGTCCCTATATCAATAGAGTGTAGCTACCTATATCAATAGAGTGTAGGTCCCTATATCAATAGAGTGTAGGTCCCTATATCAATAGAGTGTAGCTACCTATATCAATAGAGTGTTGCGACCTATATCAATAGAGTGTAGCGATCTATATCAATAGAGTGTAGCGACCTATATCAATAGAGTGTAGCGATCTATATCAATAGAGTGTAGCTAGCTATATCAATAGAGTGTAGTGACCTATATCAATAGAGTGTAGCTCCCTATATCAATAGAGTATAGCGAACTATATCAATAGAGTGTAGGTCCCTATATCAATAGAGTGTAGCGACCTATATCAATAGAGTGTAGGTCCCTATATCAATAGAGTGTAGGTCCCTATATCAATAGAGTGTAGGTCCCTATATCAATAGAGTGTAGCTACCTATATCAATAGAGTGTAGGTCCCTATATCAATAGAGTGTAGGTCCCTATATCAATAGAGTGTAGCTACCTATATCAATAGAGTGTTACGACCTATATCAATAGAGTGTAGCGATCTATATCAATAGAGTGTAGCGACCTATATCAATAGAGTGTAGCGACCTATATCAATAAAGTGTAGCGATCTATATCAATAGAGTGTAGCTAGCTATATCAATAGAGTGTAGTGACCTATATCAATAGAGTGTAGCTCCCTATATCAATAGAGTATAGCGAACTATATCAATAGAGTGTAGGTCCCTATATCAATAGAGTGTAGGTACCTATATCAATAGAGTGTAGCTAGCTATATCAATAGAGTGTAGCTAGCTATATCAATAGAGTGTAGCTAGCTATATCAATAGAGTGTAGTGACCTATATCAATAGAGTGTAGCTCCCTATATCAATAGAGTATAGCGAACTATATCAATAGAGTGTAGGTCCCTATATCAATAGAGTGTAGGTCCCTATATCAATAGAGTGTAGCGACCTATATCAATAGAGTGTAGCGACCTATATCAATAGAGTGTAGCGATCTATATCAATAGAGTGTAGGTCCCTATATCAATAGAGTGTAGCTACCTATATCAATAGAGTATAGCGACCTATATCAATAGAGTGTAGGTCCCTATATCAATAGAGTGTAGCGACCTATATCAATAGAGTGTAGCGACCTATATCAATAGAGTGTAGCGATCTATATCAATAGAGTGTAGGTCCCTATATCAATAGAGTGTAGCTACCTATATCAATAGAGTGTAGCGACCTATATCAATAGCGTGTAGCTACCTATATCAATAGAGTGTAGCGATCTATATCAATAGAGTGTAGGTCCCTATATCAATAGAATGTAGGTCCCTATATCAATAGAGTGTAGCGACCTATATCAATAGAGTGTAGCGACCTATATCAATAGAGTGTAGCTACCTATATCAATAGAGTGTAGGTCCCTATATCAATAGAGTGTAGCTACCTATATCAATAGAGTGTAGGTCCCTATATCAATAGAGTGTAGATATATATATCAATAGAGTGTAGCGACCTATATCAATAGAGTGTAGCGACCTACAGTATATAAATAGACCCATATCTGTAGAGTATATTGTTTATTGTGTATACACCCATCATGGCCTGACTCCATAAAAGGACAGGGTCATTCTTCAGCTGCCCTATAGGCCTATTTCATAGAGCCACCCTCACAAATACAGTAGTCTACAACCAACTGGGAAGCTGGGTTTATATTGAGACCCCCGACCCCCTTCCCAATCACCAGCTGTATGGGCAAGATGATTATCCACTAATCTACATGCGAGGAAAGAGGCTTTCAGATATTTATTATTCATTTGCTGAGAGACACGCTGCTTGTAATAAGTAGATGGATGAAAAAACAGCAGCCCATTCCTTTAGGTACAAGAGATAAACAGGTCAGTGGCAATCTCATTCAGTCAAGCCTAACATCGCGTATGACTGTTATGAGGGCTGTACAAACGCATGAAAGGGCATTACTGACCTATTACACAGTGATGTTATTCAATTATTATTATTGGATATTATTATTATTATTGGATATTACTATTATTATATTGTTATTGGATATTATTATCATTATATTATTATTTAATATTATTCAGAACAGTTTATTTATCTCACATCATATTGAGATCATTCTGTAAATGTTGTTATTTTAGTTCCATGTATGGCTTGAAATGTTACCACACGTTAAATGTATTTTCTTTGTGCCTTTCAAGAATGTATCTTTCTGTTTATCTTTTGCAAATTATTGGTGACACAAATGCAAAATTGGGGTAAGGACAGACTTCCTGTTGTGTTAGTGTTCAGAGTCTAGACTAGCCTGGTCCTTTCTCAAACCACAGCCTGGTGACCAATGTTGTGGTTGTCGTAGAGTGTGTGTGACACCTAGTGACTGTTTTTGTGGTTTTTATAGTTTCAGACCATTAGTCTGGGCCTAGGCCCTTCTCAGAAAACCCCTGGTGATTTAGTTAAAATAACATCTAGTGACCGTGTCCGTCCGGCCGTCCAGGTACAGACAGACATCAGTGTGGACACTAAGCAGCAGACGCTGACGGGCGTGGCCTTCCCTATGCAACGAGACGCCATCCAGGCTCTGGAACAGTTTAGAGAGAAGAGGATCAACTACGTACAGCTGGTGAGTGTCCTATACCATAGTATAGTATAATATAGTATAGTACATCATAGTATAGTATAGAATAGAATAATATAGTATAGTACATCATTGTATAGCATAGAATATATTAATATAGTATAGTACATCATAGTATAGAATAATATAGTGTAGAATAATGTAGTATAGTACATCATAGTATAGAATAATATAGTGTAGTACATCATAGTATAGTATAATATAGTATAGTACATCATAGTATAGCATATAATAATATAGTATAGTACATCATAGTATAGAATATTATAGTATAGTATATCATAGTATAGAATAATATAGTATAATACATCATAGTATAGAATATAATAATATAGTATAGTACATCATAGTATAGAATAATATAGTGTATGACATTATAGTATAGTACATCATAATATAGTATATACTAATATAGTATAATACATCATAGTATAGAATAATATAGTATAATACATCATAGTATAGAATAATATAGTATAGTATATCATAGTATATAATAGTATAGTATAGTATAGAACATGATATTATATAATAGTATAGTATATACTAGTATAATATATAATAATATAGTATAGTACATCATAGTATATAATAATATAGTATAGTACATCATAGTATATAATAATATAGTATAGTATATACTAGTATAGTATAATATATAATAGTATATAATAATATAGTATATAGTATAGAATAATATAGTATAGTATATACTAGTATATAATAATGTAGTATATAATAATATAGTATAATATAGTGTAGAGTAATATAGCATAGTATAGAATAATAGGGTATAGAATAATATAGCATAGTATGATATAGTATAGAATAATATAGTATAGTATATAATTATATAGTATAAAATAATATGGCATAGTATTGTATAGTAGAGAGACGCCACAAGTCTCTGGAACAGCTCAGAGAGAATAGGACCAATGAGTACAGCAGGTGAGTGTCAGTACTGTCTGGCAGTCTCACCTCCTTATTAGCGCACAGAGACAGACAATAACTGGGATGTGTTGTTTCATTACCAGTAGGTGTGTCTGACTAGCTTGTTTTCTGTATTCAACAATGCCATATAATTGCCAGAGAAAGACTACAATGCAATGGCTTAAACACAAACTAACTTGCACCATGTTACATGAAACATTATACGTTGTATTGGATGGTTTACAATAGAAAGCTTATTGAGGATTGTTTATGACAAAATGCATCACTGTCATCATCATCATCATCATCTGTATCAACAGGAGATAGATTTTAGGAATGAGTCTATCAAGCTGTCCAGCACCACTCCTACAGAACTGAAGGAACTGCCCAAGAGGATCCCCAAGGATGCAGCCCGATACCACTTCTTCCTGTACAAGCATTCCCACGAGGGAGACTACCTCGAGTCTACAGGTAAAGCAACACATTAAAAGATAACGAGAATATTTTGTATTACGTTGATATTATACCTCACAATTATTTATGCTTGATCTATTCCTATTCATAATCGATTACGTTATTAAAATGTAATAACAGTGTGATAAGGTGGTATTTAAAGTGGTTTCCAATGTGTGTTGCAGTGTTCATCTACTCCATGCCGGGGTATAAATGTAGCATCAGAGAGAGGATGCTCTACTCCAGCTGTAAGAACCCTCTCATCGATACTGTGGAGAGCAACCTGCGCATCCACATAGCCAAAAAGGTAAGAGCTGGGTCATGTTCATTATATCACACTGTAGCTAAATATTTTGCAACAGAACATTTAAACATGCACTTCGTATTATATTCATATATGGTCAGATAGTCCCTCCATTTCAGTC